AAACTATATATTATAAATATAATTATAAATATTAAATATTAAATTAATTTCTTTTTAAATATATAGTATTTTAAATATTAATTAATAAATTAATAATTACGTACTTAACCTGTTTTATTGTTAATAGCAGTTAACTGCGTATTTAATAACAATATCGGTTTTGTCCGAAAGTGTTAGAAGACAGATAGGTCGCACGAACAAGCAACAAGCACCGTCACTTAAGTACGGTAGGGAGGGGCGACTAGGCAAATCAATGCCATCCATGGAATTCATATCAAAAGAGTCATACAATCTTTGCTAAGCTTAGTCAGATGATTCTCACTAGGTCGACTTTCTAAATTGTCCATGCTTGCTTGGGTTATTATTACTAACTTACGTTTCACCTCAGTTCCTGGCTTGGAGTGGCCCGGTATGATCATGGGCTCGCCTCGACCTTCAGACTTGTCTGTGGTCTAGATCGATGGCTAGGAATTTTTTCCGATGCACCGGTCCAGGATGGCGTAGATATGATTGGCAAAGGCGTGAGTGGAAAGAAGTTAGTGATCAAGCCTTGGATTACACGAAAGGCAAAGCGGTATGGCCTAGTGGCAAGATAGTATCTGTTCTTGAAGCTCTCCTGTTAGTATAAATGCGCATGTAGTTTCTACTGACGATTCAAACCTAGTGAATGGAGTTATTAGCTGGTATTAGTAATCTAGGGTATCCGCCCCGCATTGTCTGAACCACGAGTCCCAACCCGCTTTGCATAACCCTGCATAAAGACAATATGGGTGCCCTTGAGCTTACTTCCCCCTTTCATTGGGTGAAATGCAAGGCGCTTTATGCATATCATCAGGCGGCCAATCGTTTCAAGGCACTCGACGCCGAGGCATATTCACTTGTGGCTGTGCATCAACGACGCGTTAAACAGGGGTGCTTTTTTTTTTCTCAAGGCGTTCTTAAAATCCAGGCTGCATCCCAATCATAGTGCTCTCATTTGATCTCATCACGTTGCATTCGCGCGCAGTTGACTTTGTGGTCTCGAAAATGGCATGGAACGATCAAGACGTGGAACAAGCCTGCAAAAGGATACGCCTGCAATCACCGGAGCCAGACGTGGCTTCTGACGATTTCGAAGACTTTCTCTTGTCAGACACCGAATTGTTTTCTCAGCTTGCGGGCGACAACGGTTCCCCAGCCAGCGTTTCAGAACCTACGGCACAAAAGAAAGACGGAACGAGGCTTGCTTTCGTAGGCGACGCACTGGTCGCAGACACTGTTCGCCATGTCTGCCTCGGAACGGTGAGCTTCAAGATAATTACTGTAAGCTGGCGCTGATTTGGAACAGATAATCTTGGAGGCCACATCGTCCTTCTTCAAGGACCGACAAGACTCCGAAACCCCAGTCACCCTGCGAGAGTGTGGGGGTATCATCAAGTTGAGTACGGCAGACACGGGTGCATACGCGGGCATCCTCAAGGCCTCGTTTCCATCGGACTTGCTACACCACCCTTCGGTAAAGCTCATCGCCCTGTTGACAGCCCCAGCATCGCTTCGAGTCATAATATCCAGCCAGATGGAAGAAGCAGCCCAGATTGGAGCTCTATTATCTAATAACGACCTTTTCCTTCAACATCCATCACCTCGTGATATCGAATACTTTGAGCTGGAGATGGAATACTTTAACCCCCAGTTTCTTGTTACTCCAGGATCTTGTATGCCACAATTGGAAGACCTTGCCATCGAATACAACGACAGTACATCTAACGCTTCTCTGGCGTTAGACGAGCAGAAGAAAGGCCAGCTCATTGTTATTTTTGATACAGCGGCTGACCTTTCCATCCGACCCACAACTGAACCAAGTCCGCGTCTACAGACTCATCTGAAAGAGTGTGCACAATGGTCTTCTTCTTGTTCCATCAGTAACTAATAGAATCTAGCTATCAGCTCAAAGCTCTAACTGTGATGAGCGAGAAGGAGTGCGCAAACCTTGAAAATCCTCAATGTCCTTCGCTATGGGCTGTTGCACGCGATGCATCCACTCGCGGACACAGGTATGACATCAAATCGAGATACTTTGGATTGACGTCTAAGAAGAACCAGAGAATATTGTCACAGAATAACGGGACATAGGGCCGATGCTGTGCCTATTTGTGCTGGGGGCATCCTTGCCGATGTGAGATGACCCTCAACCCCTCGCTTTGCTTATCATACACAGCTGACTAGGTTTGGTTTACAGGAGATGGGGCTTGGGAAAACACTCTGCGTACTGTCCCTCATTTGCTGGTCGCTGGACTTGCTGAGGGACACGGAAGCCCAAGGAAATTGTTCTGAGTCGTCGACAACGTTGGTTGTCATACCCAAGAGCAGTACGATCCGTGAAGACGTTGTACCATGCTTTCACTAATAGTGAGCAGTGATTCCTGGCTGGCAAGCCCAGATAAAAAACCATATTATACGGGGTCAGATCCGTGTTGCTATCTATTATGGTACTGATAGACAGACTCTCGCCAAGCAGTTCCGGAACAATGACATTGTCTTGACAACGTATCAGACCCTGAGGTCTGAATGGACTAACAAGGGTCCATTGTTTACAAAGAAATGGTTCCGTGTCGTTCTAGATGAAGGTAAGTATCTTTGTTACCTTATCGTCTCACTCATGAGGTTAATGATAACAGCCCATCGTATCGGAAACAGGTCTACTCAAGTCTTCCAGGCCGCATGTGAGCTCCAGTCATCGAGACGCTGGTGCCTCACGGGAACTCCTATCGTCAATTCTATCGACAACTACGGAGCACTACTTGCCTTTATCAAGATGGAACCTCTTGACACAAAGGCCACTTTTGATCATTGGATATCTACTCAGATACGAGATAACCTGCAAGAAGGCATTCGAAAACTCCGGATCCTAGTTGAAGCAACGTGTCTCCGTCGGACGAAATGTAGTATTTCGCAGGCACTCCCTCCTCCGACAGTCCGCGAAGAAAAGGTTGACCTAAGTCCATATGACCGCTCACTTTACGACTTCTTCGAATCTGAAGCTGCCAAAAATGCTGCCGACTCTTCTCAAAGTTATCCTGCCAACCATTTAAAGACGGGAAAGGAAAAAAAGAATGTGCTGTCTATGATCCACAATCTTCGCCGCATTTGCGATCACGGAGAGGATCTGTTGCCTGCTTCGGACATTGAAGCGTGGAGATTACAGAGATGTCAGGGACCAAGTTGTCAGACAATACCTTCCAGGCAGCAGCTTGGAACGAATTATAGTATCGATTCACACTGCAAACTATCGCCGTCTGCTAAGGTGCAGAGATTGATACACAACATCCGATTAGAACAAGCGAACAACTTAGCAAGATCAGCGGCTGCACCGGTGAAGAGGTACTCATATCGAACAAAAACATGCAAAGGTCGCTAATGATGATCAGCGTCGTTTTTAGTTACTGGACTAAGATGCTCGATCTTGTCCAGCATGCTCTCCTACAAGCTGGCTTCCTATGCGAGAGAATTGATGGCCAGTACTCCATCAAGCAAAGAGAGAATGCGCTGACTAAATTCGCAATTGACCCTTGCTGTACTGTAATGCTTGCCACCTTTGGGAGTGGTGGAGAAGGGTAGGTGTTTGGGCACCTAGAGTAGGAGAAGGCTAACAGTAGAACCATTTTCTAGCATTGATCTAACTTCAGCTAATTGCGTGCATCTCCTGGAGCCTCATTGGAACCCTATGGCAGAAGAGCAGGCGATTGCACGTGTTCATCGAATAGGGCAGCAGCGGCAAGTCACTGTTACCAAATACATTACTCCTGACTCGATCGAGGAGGTAAGTGGTATCAATTCGTTGACTAGTGAATTTAGGTACTAAAAGGTATGGGCTAACTCCATCGCATAGTATGTTCAAAGCATTCAAGACAAGAAAATCCAGCTAATTCAGGATACCTGGTCTACCAACGATGACTCTATGGGTAATAGCATTAATCATCAGGCTTCAAGGGTATTTTATCGTACGCGAAGGCCAATAGACCTCGGGCTAACTATCTTCAGAAGCTTGAGCAATGGCTCGCCCAGAGAAGTAAGATTTAAAGATTGTTCCAAATCAGAGCCCTGAGCTGTTCATATGACGCAGGATATTTTAACAACACATTCAATCCGTGTCTCAATCGCTGTGTAAACCTTCTTTTTTTTTCCCCTCGCCCCTTCGACGTTCCTCGGTAGTTTGTTCAACTAAGTCTTGCCAAGTCAGCCCGAGCCACTTTGAAATCCCTCGTGCTCCTTTTTCGTCTCCAATCCTTCTATTCGACAGTCGCAGGTTGGGGTCTGCTCCTTGAAGAAGTAAGAGCTTCATGAGATCTGCTGCTTGTTGTGTGGTCTTTCTTGCTGCACATTGCAAGGCTGTTGGAGAGTTTCTTTGGCGCTTGCGATTAACTTCACAGCCATGCTGAATTGCATAAAGCGCCAAACTGACGGAACAGGTTGTATCGGCAATATCTCGAAGAACCGTGTTGTCTTTCAGCCCTCTTAGTGTATCCAAAACCTTGCACTCTTTCCAACACCTAAGCAACATGCGTTCGCGGCTTGGTATATTATCAGTTATCGCTATAGTACTCCGAGACGCGAACGCTCGTGCAACGGCCTCCGTCGTGCTCACCATGCCGAAGCCTGAAGCTATTATTGGCTTCCATAGTTCAAACAAGTCCTCAAAATCCAATCCCAATACGGTTCCGATTATGTTTTCCACTGCTGCTTGAAAAACAGCCGGATCCACTTTACGGAAGTCCAGGGTCCCAACCCAGCATAGGAGAATTTGGGACAAGCCGATACTCTCACTTTGCAGTGCCAGCTGGGCTAGATAACTAAACTTGCTCCAATCTAGAAGGCCGTTGTGATAAAATGCTCCCGTGAGTAGCCCGGAGTCGCTCAATAGTTGTAGGATTGAGTGAGAGCCCATTTTGGCAGCGTGGGCTGCGACTTCTATCTGTACGCCAGTTTGTAAATTGCGCAGACGAGGTATCAGTGGTGCCAAAATCCCCACCCTGTTAGTTTCAATCAAATCAAATACAAGAGGTTGAAGCTCTTCATCTTCAATCTTCAGAGGGGAAGTAGTGCTTGACGTTCCAAGATCTGCAGCATGTGAATGGCCCTTCTTCAAATGGTCATCTCTCATCTTTCGTGAGAAGAAGCCTTGGGTCACGAAGCGACATCCTGGGACGTTGCAGTTCCATGGCTTCTGATGATTCCTTTCGTGAGTTCGACGGCCTGTCGTAGTTTCAAAGCCGTAACGACGATAACGACAGCCCAAAAACCCGCATCTGAAGGACCTGGGTCCATAATGGTAAGAAAGTGACTCCGAAACAGACGATTTCGTATCATCGAGAATTTCCAGCCGCTCATGGAGAGTAATTGAAATTTGGGGAGTAGATAGCGGGCAGGTATGCAACCACTCCTCCGCTGATTGGATTAGTTCTTATCACCGGATCTCAAGGTCACTGAACTCACGATTATTGATTCGATTGTTCGAATTAGACGATGACGTCTTAAAGGCGGTACAGCTCTTCAGAAGTCCTACAAGGGAAGGCTCTTGAACCTCCAGACCAAGAATGGCTGAGTGTATTGAATCTTTGGGTTGGTCACTCTGCGTGTAATGATCTGATGATCGTGTGTCGAGCAGTATCCTCAGTTGATTGATAAGACTATCGGGTATCGTTTCTGAGCCAGACAAAGTCAAATACTGGTGGATCAAGTCAATCCAGAAGCTCGATGAGAAGTGATGCAATCGATATGCTCCCCAAAGTATGTTGGCATCAATTTCATCGTCGGTCAGCTCTGGGTCATGATGGTTCTGGCACATATACACCATGCAGCGAATAGCCAAGTCAAGTGACATCTCGGATAGATTGATAGAGCTCTGGATCTTGGTACTGAAGATGTACCTGACTGGTGTTAGTAACCGATAGAGGGTGTTTTCCTTAGACGTACTCTCGAACAGTGAAGTGGACAAACTGAACATAACCATCTACTATATCGATAATCGGACCGCAGATCTGTATGACATCGACTGTCGATTGAACTCTTGGTAGCTTGAAAGGGAATTTGGGGTCAACCAGCAATGCCTGCTCGATTTCTTTCAAAGTCATTGGCGATGGGGCACATCCCACCCAGCCAAGTATTGAGCGAGCAAGGTTTCTTCTTCGAGGATCACGAAATGCATTGATTTGCTGTAGAACCCTACCATAGCTATACAGCAATTAGTATAGCAACAAAGGGGTGATCAAAGCGCTTACGCATCTTCCAAAGACGATGGGAGATGTTCTAGTTCGTTTTGTATATCTTCGATGTTATTAATGTAATAAATGATCCTGAAGATAACCTTCACATAAAGAAACATTCCTGCCATTATGTCAGAGATTCTGTTTAGAAGGATTTATAGCTACAAGTCTAACCAGGCATAAAGAAAACAGACCTTTTGCATGAAATGCTAGTGGTGCAGCCCAGCCTTGGACTTTGTCTTGGACTTCTGGAACGAAACCTCTCTCTTTGAACCATTCTGCCATAGTTTGGTTAACAAAGACCTGGATACTACCAGCGTTATTCTTGTCGACCTGTAGATCCATGGTTTTGCCGGCCAAATCGCGGGAGATGTCACTCTCGGCACGACTAGTTAACAGGATGTGGCACCCTCCACATTCGCCATTTAGTCTCACGAGTTCCTTGATCAACCTTGACCGTTGTGTAGGATTGATCTCGTCTAATCCGTCGATGATGACTCGCACAACGCCTGCACTCTCTATGAGCGTTTGCAAAAGGGTCGCAGCGACTTTGAAATCGTTTCCCAGATGTAGGAGATCTGATTGGCATAAAATTGTTTTGAGAGAGAGGGATGTAGAGGCGAGTTGGAATATCAATGACTGCAGGACAGAGAGTGCGGAAGTATGACTGTCGAGGTATGTGAGAAACACGAACACGGTATGGGTACCATCCAAGGACTGAATGTGCTTAATCACGCTGCTTGTGAGCAGCGTCTTGCCTATATAATAAGCGAATCAGTAAATCTATCTTATGCTGCGTCAGACAGATAGGCTCACCAGCTCCGGGGATACCTCGAAGCCATAGAATAGGTTTCACTTTCTCCTTACCAGCGAGCCAATTCTGGAATGATTGGTCACGGAAGAGCCATTTCCCGGTTCCGTTGCAAACAGCTTCGCTGAAACGATACAGGTCGGCATCGTAGCTCTTGGGTGAGATGTGGGCCCGATGACTCGCATATTCCTGAGCGATGTGATTCTCCTCTGTCTGTAGGAAATGTTGGAATTCCCGATTTCGCATTTCGTCTGCTCTGCGTATCTCCTCCATCAGAACTTCCTCTCTGAAGAGGTCGCGATGGCTTGCCATGTGTTTTACGACGACCTGTATCCTGTCTTTGTGGCGTGGCCAGAGCATCTCAAACATAACTTTAAGACCTTATTTATTGTTAACCTGGCTACCAAGATTGAAACTCTAGGAAACTTACGGCGCATACTAAAGAATTCGGTAGAGATCAAGTAGAAGTGAAGAATATCGCGGAAATACAGCACCAACAATGCCTGTAGGCGATTATTACCGGCGAACATTGCTGCCAGTTCGCAAAAGTGGGGCAAAGCATTTCCAATCTCTTCCAGAGCGCTCACAAGAGCATCGAAGGACTGTTTGAGAACGTCGGCCCATAGTAACAGAAGCTTGACCGGGCCCCATAACAGCGCTAGGATGTCGGGTTTGGCCTGCACAAAGGTCTCAACGACACTACTGTATTCGCGAAGTCGAGCTAGAAATGGTTCAATCTTAGATAAGTGACGAAGGCGGCCGGATTTGGCCTGCTTATCTTGAAGCTTTTCGATGTCCTGGTAGACTTGCTCGATGCTAGTTGTTTGGGCAATTTGATCGTAGACACTATGGTCTTTGAGCTTGTTCTTGAAATCAAGCATCGCTGCTTCGAAGGCGCGCTGCGTAGTAGTCATGATGCTTCCGGTTTGACCAAGTGCCTAAGAATGAGCAGCATCAAGTTGTGAGATAAGCAATTGTTAGAAAAGAGGTTAGGCAAAGGATGGATGCGGGGTTTGAAAATGAGGCGGCAAATCAGGCTGAGCAAGGCATAATCGACAGCTATTGGTTCAAAACTGTTAATTGCATATTGCAGGATGATATGTTAGTACGTGGTATCAATTTATGAATGTACCTGGAAGGCGCTTTTTGTAGAGAAGGTCATATTGGCAATTCCGCGTCAATACTTTAAAGTTTGCCTAATTAATTTCCGATGCATGGTGTACGTAATTTGCTTGTAATAAGGCACAGTTCTACTACTATTTCTATAAAAATATATCTCTTTGCCAAACGATAATGTAAAATATGCAATTAAGGGCTATCAACCAACGAGATTTGTCCCTTGCACAGCCTGATTCTGCAATCTCATTTTTCATGCACCCCGCGCAACTTTCCTCGGCTGAAATTCTCTTCTTCATCTCTACTTCACAGCAATTTTTAACAAAAGTCTCACTAAAAATTGAAATTTCCTCCCACCGAAAGGCTTTCTACATCATGTCTGGCGCCGAAGTTGCCCTCCTTGGAGTAGGCATTCTCTGCAATGTGATGCAGATCCTCACCTTCGCCAAGGACTTCATCCACGTCTACCGCAACATCCGTGATGGCCGAGCTCCTGACCCAAAGCTAGACTCATATCGGTAGAATGCGAAGACTTGTTTCAGCGAGATGAACCAAACTGCCGCACAAATTGGGCCTTTAGGCCAAACTCAGCAGCAAATTGTGGATGTTGGCAAAAAGGTCCATGACTGCGTGGATGAGCTACAACAACAGTTCGTCAGGCTTCATGTTGACGAACCTTCAAGAAGAGGACTTCGTGGTAGAGTGGCTGCGTCGAAGAAAAGTGCACTAGCCCTATGGCGTGGAAAGGAGCTTGAAGATGCCGAACACAACCTTCAGCGCCATGAACAGCTATTGCACAGCCTCCTCCTGGATCAGGTCTGCACTCAGTCTCAAGCCGCCGAGATCACCTCTTTACAAGCTTTCCAGCACCTCGAAGGGACTTTGCGGGACATCATCTCACAACTAGCACATGGCTCCACCAAAGTTTCGGACCTGGTCACAGCTTTATCTGCAAATTCAAGTTCTCGAGTGGCAGATGAACACGCAACAACGAGAACTACCATTGAAGATCAAATGTCTTCGTTGGAGAACACTATCCGTGAGGGTATGTCTCAGTCGATTGATCAACTTCGTCAGGAACTGCTGGACCGTGAGCAGGATAAAGCTTTTGAAAAACAGTACGAGCAACTTCTGTCGAGTTTACAATTCCCAGATATGAATAGCCGACGTAACCATATATCAAACAACTACCCTGGAACATTTAATTAGATTTTCTGTCATCATATCTCCGTACCCTCGAATCGTGGCTCGCCATCTGAGTCTGGTCTGTCAGATATGGATAGTCAAACATCTAAAGACACCCGGACTAGTAACAAGAACGTGTGTCGTTGCCTAGAAGATTTTGAGATTACGAATGAGGTAGTCTCTGACTGTTTTCCATGCTGGTTAGAGTCAGATTCGAATATCTTCTGGGTCAGTGGCAAGCCAGCTTCAGGCAAGAGCTCTCTCATGAAATTCCTCGCTTCAAACTTTTCAACAGGGACTCATCTCAGAAACTGGCGCTCGAATGTACGAATTCTTACGCATTTCTTCTGGAAGCCCGGCAAACTGCTACAGCGAAACGTGGAAGGCATGGTTTTGTTGCTCCTCGATCAAGTCCTAGATTGCAGACCTGGACTTTGTCGAATGTTGTGTGAAGCCCAGCCCTACGTGCGGCACAAGCGGAGTCACTCGGACTGGAGCCTTGATGAGTTGACAGAGGCTCTGATTAGATCACTGGAAGCTTCGCCCGAAGCCTTTTGCATCTTCTTAGACGGTATGGATGAAGCTAAAGAGCTGGAACATCTGCCCTGGCCCGACTGGACCAATGCTCAAGTCATTCACGAACTGCTCAAAGTGGATAATGTCAAGCTTTGTGCATCTAGTAGAGAGGAACACGCATTTTGCTGTTTTTTCAAAGGTGCATTTCGGATTAGGCTACATCACTTGAACTGTCAAGATATCACTCTTTTCGTCCGAAACCGGCTCGTTCTTTCTGGTCTTCATTGCCGCGATCGGGATAGACTTGTAAATGAGATTACAAAAAAGGCTAAAGGCGTCTTTCTATGGGTCTCTATTGTGTTCGGTCGTCTAAACCAGGCCCTACGCAAGGCCATGCAACTATCGAGACACTTCGAGAACGCCTCGAGCAGACTCCTTCAGATTTGGCTACGCTCTACGCGGACATGTGGGATAGAATCGGGGATGATGGCCGGTTACCCAGTGTTCGAACGGCATCTTATCATGTGACGACTAGCTAATTCGCACCAAAGTGAGCAAATAAATGAGGTTTAAGAGACCTTATTTATTTGCTTACTTTGGTACGAATTAGCTGGTCATTATAGTTATAAGCCTAGGTAGAAAGTTATTCCAGTAACTTTTACTGCACTTATCTTATATCTATTTACCTTTTTATTATAACTATTACATTATTACCCTTTTCCTTAGCATAGTAAGGCTACGTAAGAAAATTTCTTATCCCTTTCTATTACTTTATACTGCCTTTTTATTTACTATTATAATATACCTAAGATAATAATATTAGCGCTAGCTAATACTAATTTAGTAAATTTAGTTATACTGGATTTCTTAAAAAAGTAGCTATAATAGATTTAGATTTTTAAAATATAAACTAAAACTATAGGTATTTAAAAGCTTATTAATCCTAAGCTTTTAAATACTAATAATAACATTCCTATAGTACCTAAACCTAAGTAGTTTAAAGATTTTAAAGCTATAGAGCTTAAAAGATATAAAGTTATTTAAATAGAGATTATAGTAAAATACGCTGCCTATACAAGTAATAAGCTTATACTAGCAGTTTTATAACCTTTCTTAAGCGCTCTTACTAATAATTAACTTTATAAGCAATTTAAGCTATATTAGGTATTTATATAGTAAAAAAGCAAGGTAGCTAAGATTTATATAAATTAGCTTTAAACTGTAATAGTATATATCCTAAAAACGGTTAATCTAGGCATAGTAACTATAGTAAAAATGCAGTTATAATATAATTAAAAGGGCTATTACTTTATTTAATAGCTTCTTTATAATATAAAGAAAAGCTGTAGCTTATTAAGTATTAAAAATATAATAAAGGTAACTATAAAGTATACTAAAATTCTAAGTAAAGTAAAAAAAGTAAGAATTAACCCTTAAGATTAGCTTAATTACTAGTATTCTATCTTTATATATATAAAGTTATATAGAATTAGTAAAGTCTAAGGACTACTTATAATAATTAACTTTATTAATACAGTTAGTATAAAGATAGCTCCTAGTTAAGCTACTTATATAAAACTTATAGTTAATATAGACTAAGTAGATAGAAAGCTATATTATAATATAGCTAACGTAGCGTAGCAGTTTAAAGCCTAGCTTTAAGAGAACTATTATATAAGAGTGCTAATAATTAATATAACCCTTATAGGAAAAAGTAATTATAGTAAACCTTAAGAACGCTTACAATCTAGTAATTAAGGAGAATCTAAGACTTACTTATATAAATAGAAAGAATACTATTAAAACCCTAAAAGCTATAGCTATATTAAGGTTACCCTAGGTAAAGCTTATAGGAGCTAAACCTTAAAAATAACTAAAATAGAGATTATAGTAATTTAAGCTAAACTAAAGAAACCTATATAGAATAAGCTTAAATAGAAGTTTATAGTAAAAGGCTTGTCCCTAGAGTCTAGAATTAAAAATAGTAAAAGAAACTTTAACTAAGGCCTAGATAGCTTTAGTATAGTAAGGATTAATCTAGAACTAATTACTAAGACTGAATATTCTTTAGTAATATATATAGGTAGTAAATTAAAGTACTTTCTAGCTAATTTAACTCTATTTAATAATTACAAGGTAAGTTATTTAGTAAATAATATTAGTCTCTTAGAAAAGGGATTTTTTATAGAAGCTTATAATAAATAAGTTAAAGTAAGTAATACTTACTTCCTTATTATAGGCTACGGAATAAGAATTATTAAAAACCTTTTAAATAGACTTAAAAGGAAAAGGACTTACTTACTTATACTTAATAAAGTTGTAGTTATCTATAGTTTTTATATAAATATTATATTAAAAGTACTTTTTATAAATATAAAGATTTAGTATACTAGTTATAAT